CGCTCGGCTCGATTGCCATCACTACCCACAGAAAGAAAAGTACAGTAATGAATAGATTTTTTTGGAAAATGTGTAGCAGCCTGGCAGGGAAGTAAAGTAAATTTATTGATTTGTGTGTATAATATTTTATAATATGTTGAACTCCAATCTTGAGGGTCCCCACCGCCTCGTCCCTAGAGTATCGTGGATGAGGTAAATCGCTAGATGTGCCTCATCAAGTCAGAGTACAATAGCTAAGGGTGGGCATGAGTTGGGTTGGGTCGATTTTTGTCTCAACCCAAACTCAACTCAACATGATCGGTTTGATCAAAATTTAACTAATCCAACCCGTGTAAAGGTTAAAATTCAACATAACCCAATCGAGTATCCGTCGAAGGATTGAGTTGGTCGGTTTGGGACGACTTGTCAACAAAAATTAAAGTCATCCAATTTTCTATTATATTAAATTCGAATAGATAAGATTAAATAGTAAGTAAATAAATAAATAAAATTATCTATTATTTTATTCAATTCTCATTAGTCGAGCCTATAAAGAAGAAAATGCATTTAACATAACACGAAAAACTTATACTACATTTCATGTGGGAAGAACGGTAAACTACTCCTCTAAAATACACCAAGGTAATTACAGTTACACTATTTACTCATACTTTTTAGATTTCTTTTACTTTTCTAGACATTTTATTTATTTTATTTTTATTTATTATTTTTTTTAAAGTGGCGGGTTGGGTTTATTCGATTTTCTTGATTTAATACATAACCCGACCCACCTACCTACACAGCCCACCCATGTAAAAAGGACAAAAAAATCAACCGGTTGGTTTGGTTTGGTTTGGGTGAGTTCGATCGAGTTTTGCCCAACCCCCAACAATAGTTGTCATATTGGTGCCCACAAAAAGTCAAATTTCATACAAGATGCAGGAATCGAACTCTCACACTGCGACTGCCAGCTCAGTTAAGACTACATCACTCTTGTTCTTTACACCACCAAGTTATGCCCCGGAGGGCTAAATATAATATTTTATTGGGGGTGTGGTGGAGAATCTTATTGTAGCAAATAATTTTTTAGAATATTGGTAGACAAACATGAACTAAGTTTGGTGCACGCAGCCAGATAAAACTTCCGAACTGAATCAAGCACTTATTCTTAAGTTAAATATCCGAATGAGTATCTGAATCGAA